ATTATAAGAACCTACACACACACAGGGGCTGGAGACCTTCCTTCATATTCTTACCAACCACTGCAGTATAGATAAGGGCAGTACTTAATTTGCCCCGGCACCTCTAGGCTTGGCAGTTCATAGCCCCGGCACCTCTGGGCTTCCACCCAGCAGCCACCACTCTCCAGCAGCCCGGTTCTGAAAGCAGTGTCGCCTTCAGAGCTGGGTGCCCAACCAGCAGCCGCTGCTCTCCAGCCACCCAGTGTGAGCCCCGACACCTCTTGCATTACAAATTAAGCACTGGGCAAGGATGACAACCATGTTACAGAATGGAAGGACACAGTAATGTATATGCTAAAGGAAGCAGAGCTAAAGTTGTGGCAGAAGAGGGAGATCTTCATTCCACGCAGCTGGATGTAGAAGGTAGGAAGTGGGGGCTGAGTTGTGAGGGAAATGCACACAGCTGGAGAGTGGGCAGGGTCACGGCAGGAGGGAATCTCCTTCCTGTATTAGGAGAGTGGATGGAGGAGGGTAAATTGGAGAAGATCATTGGGGAATAAGGGGTACAGTTAACAGGAAGGTTGGTGTAAAGGGAGAGGTGTGTGACTCATGTGTGCCATGTAACTGAGCAGAGGTGAACACACTAGCTGAGAGTTCAAAAAGGGTTTCGTTTAAATGCTCCACTTTAACTCTACATTAATTTTAAATTTTGCTTGCAAACGCTGTCAAAAAGTGCACTATGGCCCACATTCTCATTGATCATAACACAGGAGAATGTGAAGTAATAAAACTAGCTGTTTCTGGTTAGTGAAAGGCAAAGTGTAAAAGGTTTGGAGACTTGTTTCTGATAAGCTCTTCCCAAAGTTTGAACCAAACTGTCCGAAGCAGAGTTTAGGGGCACAGAAAACATCAAATTAATTTCACTACTGAGAAACTAGAGCTGTGCAAAAATAGAAAAACCGAGCCAAGCTCACTTGCTTTGAAGGTTTCTCATCCCTCGCTATCTTGTCACAAAGTCCCCCTCCCCATGCACCCACAAATGGCACAGAATAAAACTTGCTAATCTAAGTCATGCAAACTTTTAAACAGCTATCTACAGAGAGAGAATTCAAACCCAATCATTGACATAACTATCTATCACACATACAATAGCATTAAACGCTTACCAAAGGATACATTTTCAATAAAAGAAAAGGAGTACTTGTGGCACCTTAGAGACTAACAAATTTATTTGAGCATAAGTCTCCAAGGTGCCACAAGTACTCCTTTTCTTTTTGTGGATACAGACTAACAGGGCTGCTACTTTGAAACCTGTCAAAATTTTCAAAGTAACACTGCTCCAGATCACCATCTTGTGGTGATGAAAGGTATGCAGTAAAACTAAGCTTCATAGTAGCTCTTTCCTTTATTATTTCGATTGGTTTGGGCCCATCATTATAAAATAGATTTATCATTACCCCTCTCCCATACCCCTCTTGCTGCTGGCATCTGGATGGAAATGCAGTGCACTGGGGAGCTTTTGGCTCTTTAACAGGGAGCAACAAAGAACATGTGCAGTTTTTAATGGAGAAGCAGGCTGACAAAATGCAAACATCCCCCTTTTGCAGGGTGAATGCTGTATAGGGTCAATCTGTGCAAATTTCTGAAGGGTAAAACACTAGCCATGGAATCAGATCACCTTTGACCGGCTGAAAAAAATACGGGAAAAACAGGGTGAGGGTTCCCCTCAGTGAGCTAGGATTTCTGGCACCGTCTTATTTAGTGGGGAGGATTTCAGGGGAGTATTAATTTTTTAGGCTGCACCCCTGCCTAACTCCTAATCAGATCTCCAGGATCTATTAAAGGACCCTCATCCTACCTTTCTTCTGCATGGAGTCAGGAGCCATTCCATAGGGATGCATCATCACTTGGACATATAAAACAAGAGTAGAAACAAAATCTAAAATACACACTGTAGAAAAAAACTTATGGGCTGCTCCCCCAGGGATGGACTGAAGGTGCTAACAGGCCCCTCTCTGATCTCTGTTTGCATGCTTTCTGGACCTCCTGGCTCCATTATGCACCTCTGGCTAAGGTGTCATACTGCAATTCTCTCTCTGTCATTTGTTTGGATTTTATTTATTAATGTTTGTAATGTTGGCATTGCCCAGCCCCCTTTTTAGTCCCCTTTTTACATAAATGTAGCTCTGGCTGCAAATGAAAGCCACATGACTAACCATCTCCCGCACCGCCCAGAGAACTTATTCCCAACTCATTCCCTAAAAGGAGAAGCTGCTAAACAAACCAGCAGCAAATTGGGCTGGAAATCTCATCAGAACACTCTGTCTCATGCATTTTCCAACTCTCTTTGAGTCTGGAAATACTGCCAGGCGAGGCTTTCCTGTGGTGCACTAATGATGGTCAAGCCCAGGAAGCTAAGAGAAAAATTACAAAGCCAGGACATTTCATTAAAGTTAAAAAAACCAACCAACCAAAACAATATGAACAGAACTTTTCTGAACCACAAAAAAAAAAAAAAGCTTCCACTTGATTCAAATATTAGGGTTTGATCTTACCTTATCCAAAATGGTTCGTGATATTTTATATCTGTTTCTATTGATATGGGAAGGCCCATTAAACTAAGCAGGAAGGCCCAGATTTTCCAAAAGGGGCCACTAATTTGGGTTGTATCCGTGACCGGTTGCCCTGTTTGAAATACATTAGGCCTGATTTTCATAAGTGCTGAACCCCCATTGTCTACATTTGGAGGTGTGCGTATTCAGTAGCTCTGGTGTCTCAGAGTTGGACACCCAAAATAAGTGAACGTTGCTGAAGATCAGGGGTATAATTTGCTATAGGGGGACAGGGGCAGTTGCCCTCCACACCCCGACTTTTCTTAGGTCTATATGCTCCATCATGTCATCCACTTCCCCCGCCCCGCCTGCCGACTTTGATATAATCTAATCACATATAATGTCCTACACACTGACAACTTTGCCCTCCCCCCACCGAGAATTTTTCTGAAACGACGACCTTGTTGAGGATTTCAGCCTAAACATACCATGGTGGATTTGTACTTTTCCGCAGTGCAGACTGTAGCTGTGGGCTATACCCTGCAGAAAATAGTTTCAGGAGAGTCTGTATGACAACACGAGAGCTTTACACAATAGTACAAGCTTTGTTATGACTCAGGCAATGTGAACCTCTTCAGTCAGGAGGTGAGGATTCTACTGTACTGCCAGGAGAGACAGGGTAAAAGTGAGTTCATTCCAGACACTCAGCATACAAAACAAACACCTGCTAGTAACGTGAGCTTGTCATCACCCTGCCTAGTGTGTGGGTACCCTCATGCTGGTGTGCCAGCCATGAACTCGCTCCCTGACCTTCAAGAATGGCAAGCAAAGTTCAAAAACAAGATGAAACTGGGAGGAGAGAAAAGAGGAGAGCTTTCCAGACTCACATGACAACACTACAGGCATGATCAAAGTCCAGGACTGTGGTACCCTGACTCCTTGTTTAGCCACAGAAGTTTGTCCTTTGAGGCTTTGTTTATACTGTGAAATAGCGTATGTGATTGGTTTGGGGTTTTTTGATAAAATATGTTTTACTCATCTTTTCAGTAACTTATTTGCTCGGCACTACGGTATCTGAAAGAGAATCATGCCACCAGTGCACCGTGTAATACTTACACGACCAACTAGGAACTAATAACCAGGAAATAACTCTCCTTTGTTACATAAACCATTGTAATCTGAAAAAGTTACTCACAAGAAAATAAAGATATCCGCTGCCTTGGAAATATCAAAAACAGCCTGGTACTTACAAGCTTAAGTTCAGTATGTAGCTCGTGGTAAAGTTATGTGGCATGTGCGTGTCTGGGATCAGTTATTTTAATTGAAACCAGAAAAGCCACCGTGTAAGTCAATCATTAACTAAGACACTTTATTCCCTAGACACTAGGTACAGTATCTGCAACAAAATACATGCTGGACAAGGACATTTATAAAAAAAAACATGTTTTAATGACAAGTGTCTTGTAGCCACGTTGGGTCTTTGGGAAGAAGAGACCATCGGAGATAATGATGCTTTTCACTGACCTTGCCAATAACTTTGAATACTCAAGCTTTCAGGCCAGTTTACAGGAAAAGCTTAGTTTACAAAAGATAGACAGACCTCTTTGCCATTCTTCTGTGTATTCCTGTAGCACCTACAAATGTCAGCCAAGGTTGAGGCCCCATTGTGCTAGTCACTGCTGGGTACACAGAACAGAAGACAATCCCTGCCCTGAAGAGCGTACAGTGAAACAATGTAGCAGTGGAAAAGGAGGTTGCTACTGGAGAGTCTTTTTTCTCCTCTTCCTCCCCATCTCCCACCCTCCCATTATCTACTGGACAGAAGCTGTGGCGAAGTGACACCTAGACCCCCCTTCACCACCTTCTACGTGGAGCCAGAATCCCCGCCATTCCCAGGGCATGGTCTATTAAAGGCCCCAGATCTCCCCAGGAGGGCACTGAATGCAGAGGGCAGCAGCAAGAGGCAGGGGAGCCTAGTCAGAGAAAGAGTTTCCCCTGGAGTGATGCTGTAGGCCGGGCGAACAGAATCAGAGCACACCCTACTGCCTGCCACATCGGGAGAGAGTTCCTGATCCCCTAGAAGAAGCTTGTTGAAGACCCCAGTTCTCCTCAGGAGGGCGAGAGAGAAGGTAGCAACAGCAGAGGAGACACTTTAGTGCCTCAGAAGGCCTGGCCCTCAACCAGGAGCACATCTGTTAAGGGGGAATTGTCTGACTGGGGGTATGGGGTAGCAGTGCTCGGACCCTGAGGAGAGCATGGGCAGGGGAGGAAGGAGGTAATCAGGGAGCTGATTGAGTTGATTTGCTTATTTTGCATTTTAATCATAACCGAGGCAGTGAAAGAGGCTTAACATTGTATGTAATTAAAACAAATAGCTTAAACTGAAGACGTAAATCAACTGGGAGTAGGCAGAGGGCAAAAAAATGGAACTAGGGAAAGGACAAAAATAAAAAAAAATGGAACAAGGCAGAAGTTGAATTAATTTAATTCCTTTGAACAGAATCAAATTGTGCACTATCTACCAGCAGGCTATGCAAGCACATGATCTTATCAGTGTTACCCTCATTAGTCCTCCCTGTACAATTTTTTGTGTTGAGCACTTGTGGCATCTAATCTTCAATTCAGCCCTTGTGTTGGGAGTTTTAGCCATTTTATTTTTGTCACTGTCTTCTACCCTCCATTTTGGTGCACTGTCTTCATGCTTGGTTTGGCGTCCTTTTTGTGGTGTCCAATTTTTGATTGGTTAATGTTTGTGTAATCCTGCCCAGCAACTGAGCAAAGGGGGGAAACCCAGACAAAAGAGCGGGAAAGGGTCACATGATCCTAAGTAATCTGCCTGGTAACAGGACATGATATAAGGGGGCTGACATAGTGTGACAGGTTGCTGTCTGCTCAGGAGGCAGCCTGTGTTCCTACGTTCAAGTTGTGTGGTTCTTTGAGAGAACATCAGCCACCCATCTGCAATTCATCTGGTGACGGTGATCTGCTCCAGACATCTGTAGTTCCTGATCCCTGGTGGCATGGTCCTGGAGGTTCCCCGACCTTGGTTCTCTTTGCCTGCAACAGAGACAGAAGTGAGCTGATCCCATCCAGCCTGTGGTCGTCTAACTGTAATGTTAAGACTATTTGTTTGGTGGCCCATTTATTCTAGTTGGGGTCTGGGCTTAATGCCCATTTGTTTGGTAAACCACCAAGCTGTTTTAGTGTTGTTTTATATCTGTTCATATCTGGTTTATAACTGTATATCTTCCTTATTCATAAATCCTTTCTTAGTTCACCCTGTAAATATCTTTAAGTATCTTGTTTCACTGCAACTATAGGTGATAGACCCTAATTCGGGGAAATCAAACTTGGTTTGGAAGCAGGGGTCCTTAAATGTTTCCCTTTTAGTTTTCTTCTGGTAATACTTGGTGCTACTTGTAATAGTAATAATAAATAATAATAATATAATAATTAATAATAATAAATTGTGTCAGTGTAAATCACACATCAAAAGTCAACACTATCAGACCAGCCCCACTGCTTTAATCTATCCAAAGTATCTATATATGCCTGTCATATACAGGGACTCTATCTAATATATATTACATATGTAATTATCATTGCCATAGTAACTGAGCGCCTCACAACCTATAATGTAGTCATTTTCACAACACACCTGTGAGTTCGGGATTATCCCCATTGTACAGATAAAGTGCACAGACAAAATAACTTGCTCAAGGTTACACACACTGGAAGTCAGTGGCAGAACAGGGAATTGTCATCAGTTTTCCTGAATCCTAGGCTAGGGCCAAGTTAGACTATCCTTCCTCTTTAAAAGTCCTGCATCTTTGAGGATGGAGACAACAGAATGCAAATAGGAGACTGGGGGGCTGAAAGATGGAAACGTCAGAGAAGATTCAGACTGAAAATCCGATTTGCTTGTGCATTTAAATAAAAACCTGTTGTTGAACCAATGTAATTAGGCTTGGAAGGATTAGATTTTTAATCAGTAAATGTCGATGTCACCACACACACACACACACAAACTGATAAAAAAATATTTCCGTCAATAAAAATTTACAGCTAGGCAAAGTGAGAAACACGCTGCTTGAGAACTGATTAGAGTTTGGTTTAGAGAGATTTACTTTGTATATTTTGACCTGTGATGTTGACCATTTGGGTTTTAACAGGTATAAAGCTATCACTTTTTGAATCTCAACCTCTACTGTCATTAAATAATTATTCTCTGACCTCCTCCTATGATGTCCCACAACTATGAAAATTTACATAAAGATGAAAATAAATGCTTCAAAATAAACTTTGCTACTATCCATCAAAACAGTCAAAAAATAAAACTCTACCTCTGCAAGCCTAAACATAATGTGGCTTGTCTCCCTTCATGACACAGTGTCAGAAAGTATTGTCCTTCAGAAGACTACAAATTCCCTTCAGAAAAGCCTCAGTTTAATGTCCCAACTTGTTTCCATTTTAACCGGCTGTCCTGGCAGACCTCAGTGTTTTTGCAGGTTCATCGCCGCAACCAAGCAGAAAAATAAGATGCAGCTTCAGTGGAAAATTTATGATGTGGACAAAAAGTCCATGTCATTGACTTGCACAGTGCCAACCGGGGCCTGGACTCACAAAGGGACTTAGGCGTTGGGCTGCAATGCCTCACTTTTGGGTGCCTAGAAAATCACTGGAACAACAATGGGATCTAAAAGTCTGAGCGAGGTACCTCGGCTCCCTATACAATGAACCGGGAGAGATAGCACCTAAGAATATGACCCACCAAAGTTCCTCCTCCCCACACCCCACCCCGCCGGCTGTTTTGTGGAGTTAGGCAGCCTTTGAGCATGCCTACTGGATCGGGTCCCAAGACGAGCTAGGCATTCCTCTGCCTACTTCACCACCTTTGTGGATGGCACTGAGGTTTAGGTGGGAGATAGGTGTCTAAATCTGGGGTTTAGGCACCTAAATACCCTCATGGATCCAGGCCAGAGAGAATTTTGGTGTTGTTTTAAGGAAGCCAGTTAACGCTCCATTCCAAAAGGCAACATGAGATGTGTGTGTGCCCACATAGCGTAAGCAGGTGAAAACCATAAAAGCTTTCCCCAAGATCTCAGTCTCAGCTAGCGCCCCGCTCATTGCATACATAAATGCCACATTGGTTGAGTACTGTGTGAAGCGCGTGCCAAGATGCAGGCACATTCTTGTGCACACATTTGCATAGCTGACTTTTTTGAAAATCATTCCTGAAAAGTGTGGTTCTACTTTGAAAAATAACTCCAGATGACATTGTGGCATTTCATGATTATTTCATTGCCTCCAGGTCAATTCTGCTTAGTTTGTGAATTAAAATGAAGCTTCTTCTAACTGCTAAGAGTGTGTATTCATCCTGTGAGAAACTTTGTGCTTTCCTTTTGCTTTATGGTGTCTCAGTTGGCACCTGTGAAATGGGACATTTGTTTGGCTATACAAAGCCTACTGGGGTGACTAAGAGCTGTACAAAAACTAAAATTCTAGTTCGGTGGCCTAGCTGAAGTGCAGATTTAAAACAGAAGTATGCGGAATCAGGAAAAGGAGTTGTTCCTCACAACTCCATTAGCAGGAAGACCACGGGAAAGAATCACAATGGAACACTGCAAATAGGACACACCTATATAATAGTTAATACTTTTAGATGTATTGAAATAGTACTCAGGCCCTAATGGGATCCTACCCTACAAGATGCCTCTCTGCAGATGCTCAGTGCTGGTGCTTTGGGTCTGCACATCTTGCAACACCCTACAAAATCAAACCTTAAGTCTGGGATTTTGAGAGGGGGCCTAAGGGACCCAGCTCCCATTGAATTTCAATAGTATTTGAGCATCTAACTCCTTTAGACTCCCTTGAAAATTCCAGCCTAATCTACTAAGTCATTCCAGGGAGGTGGTTGTCACCATTACTGTATACTTAAAAATTGCTCAGACATGATGTTGGTGGGAACAGGATAGAGAGAATTCCTATAAAGCAGAGAGCTGTCACATCACATTTGACCCATTTGGCCCAGCTCTTTATTGATTTTGTGATAAGAACCTCAGTGCATTCAAGGGACGTATGTAATAAAATGGTTTATTGCATCATTGTTTCACAATATGCCTGTTTGGTTTGCAACCTTAACAGAACAAAAAACGTTGTGGGGCAATTATATATACTATTTAAACATTAGCTGTGGTAAAACTGACAACTGACAGCAACATTATATCTGGCAACAAAGACATGGTAACCATTAATGTACAAATATAGATTATTCTCCCTGTAACAGTAAAGGACTGAACAAGAAATTTATTTCCAGGACAAACGTTAAAGTAAAAGTGAGCACACATCGTGCTTCTCACTTTTAGTTTTAGAAAATATCAAAAACGTGAGGGGAATTTACTAGGAATTGGGACTCACCACACTAAAAGCAGCAGTACTATTGCATGCTACTCTTATATCTTATCACATATACTTCTAAACAGATAATGGGCCTGATCCTGCAGTCCTTATACATCTGAATAGTCCTCCATGCAGTCTGTTGAATTATCCTGTGAATAAGGGCAGTGCATTTCACAAGGGTAATATGTAACGATGTAACATTTTCAAATCCCACACATACAGCCCATTGAAGTTAATGAAAAGGATCTAGCCCTTTTTATTTTACACAGATGGAAAGCCCAAGATAGAGAAGTTTGCAGATTGCATCCCAGCGTGGCCTGAGGTGTAGAGTACAGGGGAAGTGGGCAGTTATAGGCCAGCCTCTCTACATAGGGAAGTAAGGGATGGTTAGACATTACAACCAGACTATCTACTTTAGCAGCTTCATTGAGCTTTTGATTAATGCATTAGTTTCTTATTCCAAAAATGGGGTTCAAACAACATAGGCAAGACACTCTGTCCACTAGAACATTCCCATCGAGTAAGTGAATTCCAAGGTTTACAGCACATCTGATACCGGCCCCAGAACTCATCACTCTGCTAATCCACTAGAATCCGAGGGATTGTGCAAAATTTCAGGATTAAGAACTACATTGGAACCTGCTTTTTGCCAGCTGTGCTAAACTTTACCTCAGGATCCAGGAGGTCATTTGTTAAATTGTGGCTGGGGGAGTGGGGTGAAGACAGAAGGTTGGGCTAGTTTCACAGAAAAATAGCTGGAACAAGGGAGACTGTGCGGGGGAACAAGGGGGGGGGACTGAAGTACACAATAAAACATATGATTCTGGCTTTTATTGCCATTGTATGGGGGCGTTTGCATGGAGATAATGCTTTGTTGGGTTAATTGCACAAAGGTAGATTTCTGTGGAGAACAGAGCTGGAATTTCAAATACAGTGTTGGGTGACCAGCTCACCTGCACAAAATAATAAGCCACAATGCAGACACAGCTGAGGGATTTGAGTCCTTCCAATTCCTGGGCCTCAAGATAAAAAATACAGTGTAATGGGCCAGAGACAAAAATACAATACATATTCTGGGGAGAGCTATTCAGAACAGAGACTATACTGTAGTGCAGATTAAAAGGAACAATCTGAACTGGAAAAGGATGAAAGGTTACTTTAAAGAACTCTTTGAAGCCATCAATGCAGAGGGCCTGCTCCTATTCCCACGGAGGTCAATGTTTTTTCTTTGATATCAATGAAAGCCTGAACCAGCAGATGTACTGTAGGTCTATATTCATTACTGAGATGATTTTTTTGTCTTTTGTACCATTTTACAATATACTGTAGGTGGTATTCTTAGTTATCGGTGTTCAAGCTGTTAATAATAAATTCTGATTTTCTGTATTTGCAGACTGTAGGTCTCAGATCAAATGGTGCTATCATTTGCTTAAGTCCTGGTTTTATATAAAGATAGTAAAATTAGAAATAGTGGATATTTCAGTTAAATGCTGTAATAGTCATTTGCAATATTATTAATATTCAAACAGCAACATATAGGCCCCCAATCCTGCAAACATTTATCAAGAAGAGTAGTCCTACTGGGTTTCTATATGCTTATGGTCCCAGTTACTTATGTGTGCTAATTTTTCAAGATCAGGGCTATAAAATGACCCATT